AATAGTTAAAGTTAAAATTGCATCAATGGAATCGCAATTACTCCCTCGATAAGTTCCTAGGGAGTAATTGCTACGATTTCACGCTCAGTAAACAATATGCCATTATTTATTGTAGCCAATTATAAGTTTAGTAACTTTTGTTTTAGCCAACCAAATTTCTAATTTTTCTTTTACATTGTCCATTACATTCGGCTTTTGTTCTTCCAGTCGGTCGGTCACTTGCTCTAAAGACAATTTGAAATATAAGTGACTTGTTACCCTGGAGGGACAAAATTGGATTCCCAGCCCAAAAATACGCTGGTCAATGCCAAATATACAAAAAAATGAATAATTTACGAATGATTTCCAAGATGGATGGTTCAAATATTTAAAGAAATATCTGTGTATCTGCCATATTGTGCATGGTTGGAAGGGAGTTTTAGCAATGAAAAATGTATTGTACAATACGTATTATTTATGATTATATTGTAACGTTTTTAACTGTTCATAGTGTGAATTAAAACACGCACTGGTTAATTAACGAACTAAACTATTTATTTAATAACTTAACTACACTTAAAACACTATAAAATTAACTAAACACTTAACTACTAATTATTTATATCACTACTAGTTTATTTATTTGCACTTATATTTATTTATTTCTTCGCGCGTACCAAAGCTCAACTAACTGCTCTGTGCTGCTCCGTTTCTTATATATTAAGCGCCCAAGTCTTCTGGAACATTCCAGCGAGCTCCACACTCTCGATTATTCGAGCGCTGAGTCACCGGCGATGACTCATCGGCGATGAGTCATCATTCCGAGATCCAGAGCCGTCCTCGCTACATTGCCCCCGTCTTAAAACATTTTCGTCCCGAAAATGGTCCTCAGCTCCATGGCGATATTTGCATAGAGATCCAAACTTGCATTGTGACGTCCTATAGAAGTAGCAGTCTACGGTCTTCCTTCCGGATGTTCTTTTAGGGTTGTGGCAACAGACAAGAATGTGTATGCCACTAAATCTGAAGATAACTTCCACCATACTTCTAATTATTCTCCAGTCTAAGCCGTCAAGTCCACAAGCAATCTTCGGTATCGCCAGGTTCATGATGTCCTTGGACAAAAGGATATCCCTCAATTTATTTAAGGCATTCCATACGTCACGGTAATTTGGCTTCTGATTGGAGAGTTGCTTCGTTACCAGATAAAAGATACTTCGGTTACCTATCTGCTCATTATCCACAATTTCAAGCACCTCTCCAACTTTGGGACTCTGCCTTCGTAGCTCGTCGACCCGTCCAAACTTATTTTTATTCCCCTGGACATCCTAAGGTCTTCCGCAACACAGTGAGCCAAGGAGTAATCGGCCGAAACCGTGAACAGATCTTTTTGCTCTTCTCGAGTGACACCATACCGAGATTTTTTACCGCTCGAATATAAATACATGAAGTCTTCAAAAGGTAAGTCGTCTTCCGGCGGATTAATTCTCCTTACTCTAGCATCGTCTATTTGATCATTGTTTCCAGCGTAAGGGGCCAATCGGTTAAAATGGATCACTTTCAGCTTTCCTCTTGGTTGTTTCCTGATCCTGTAGATGATGTCATTTATTCGATCCATGACTTCGTAAGGTCCCTCCCAAGAAGTCTGCAGCTTCGGTGAATAACCACGACGGCGCTGAGGGTTGTATAACCAAACTAGGTCTCCAGGTTGAAATCCTCCATTTTCCGCCTTGATGTCATATGCCTCTTTCATTCTATCACTGGCACTCTGGATGTTTAAACGAACTCGGCTGTGAATGTCGCTCATTTTCCTACGTAAATTGCTAACGTAATCTTCTCCAGCAATATCTTCCCCTGGTAGGCAACCAAACCTCAGGTCACAAGGTAAACGAAGTTCACGTCCCATAACAATGCTAGCGGGTGTCTGGCCGGTTGTATCGTGAATAGAAGAACGGTACGCCAACAGGAACAGATGGATGAAGTGGTCCCAGTCTCTTTGGTGATCAGAGACTACCTTGGACAGGTACCGGTTTATCGTTCGATTCATTCGTTCTACCATTCCATCAGACTGCGGATGTAATGCAGTCGTCCTCGTCTTCCGAATGATAAGAATCTTACAGACATTCTGGAACAATATAGATTCAAAGTTCCTGCCTTGGTCTGAATGCATCTCCATTGGCACACCAAAACGACAAATCCATTCCTTAATAAGGGCATCGGCCACTGTGGCAGCTTCCTGGTTTGGCAAGGCGTACGCTTCCGCCCACTTGCTAAAGTAGTCCATTACAACGATGATGTATTTATTTCCAGATTCTGTTTTCGGAAATGGACCCGCCACGTCGATTGCAATTCTCTCAAATGGGCTGCCCACATTGTACTGTCGCATTGGGGCTTTTGGGCGCTTCTGGGGTCCATTGCTTGCCGCGCAAACGGCGCACTTCTTGCACCATTCCTTCACATCTCGTTGGCTGTTGACCCAATAGAACCGTTCCCTAAGTCTTCCGAGCGTCCTGGTCACCCCAAGATGTCCTCCAGTAGTTCCATCATGGATTTCCTGCAGCACTTCTGGTATCAATTGTAACGTTTTTTAACTGTTCCAAATATTCTTTTAAATTTTTAGAATTTTCCAGAATTTCTGTTGCAAATCATCCTTTAAATCGTTGGAATTTTCTAGAATATTCTGTTTCAAATCAGCTTTCAAATTGTTAGAATTCTCTAACATTTTTTCGTTTAAATTTTGCAACATTAAATGCATATTACATTGGTCTTCAAATAAATACGTATCTGGATCTTCACCTTCCTGTTCCAACGCTTCTCGAAGCCGCTGCTGCAACACATTATTTTTTCCAGTTGGATCACACTCCCTTTCTTCTAGCTCTCGCTTAAGGTCTGACACTTTTAAGTCCATTAACCAAACCAATTTCGCGAAGTTTCACACTAACCGCACTTCTGACACCAATTGTAACGTTTTTAACTGTTCGTAGTGTGAATTAAAACACGCACTGGTTAATTAACGAACTAAACTATTTATTTAATAACTTCACTACACTTAAAACACTATAAAATTAACTAAACACTTAACTACTAATTATTTATATCACTACTAGTTTATTTATTTGCACTTATATTTATTTATTTCTTCGCGCGTACCAAAGCTCAACTAACTGCTCTGTGCTGCTCCGTTTCTTATATATTAAGCGCCCAAGTCTTCTGGAACATTCCAGCGAGCTCCACACTCTCGATTATTCGAGCGCTGAGTCACCGGCGATGACTCATCGGCGATGAGTCATCATTCCGAGATCCAGAGCCGTCCTCGCTACAATATGGAAAACAAGCTGAAGAAGTATATAATAAAAACTTTATTGATCCCAAGAAACATAGATGGTTTATACAGGGACAAACTCTAAACATCTAATAATTACAATATATCTATTACAGTGATAAAGCAACATTATCTTATAAGATAATTATAGTCTTACAAATATACAATATACAATGCAAACATACTTTATACATTAATTTACATATTTACTGAACTTTTTTTTCAAATTCAATACTCAAGAAGAAGACACGCAGGTTAGCCTCTTAACAAGGATTGAAATACTCTTTTATATGTCTTGTCGATTTTGTTTTTATATCTTCTGGATGAATTATTGTAATTGTATGTAAAGTGTGGAAGAAAAATGGATAGTGTTGGACAATTTTTATTTATATAAACGAAAATGAATCTAGGGATGAGTTGAACTTCGACTCTAGTAACTGAGACTAGTGACCAGTGGCGGCTCGTGACCATTCATGAAGGTGAGGCCCATGACCCACTATATGGCGCCGCAGGCAATTTTTTTGAAATTTTCAAGGTCTCGCGTTTTTGGAGCACTTCAGAATCTAAATAATAAAAATATATTATTTAAAAATATGTTCTTTCACGAGAATTTTCAAAATTTAGCTAGAATACAAAAAGTGCGGGATGAGGTGGGATTTTTATTTATTCCTTCAGCAGGTTTCAACATTACCCAGAAGGTACTGCTCATTTTTACCTATCTTATAATTATTTTTTGATTAATAGGCACAACCGCACAACAACAAAATAATAATGTACAAGCACAGTAGGTATATGAAACTCAACGATTTAACACTGAACTATAAAAAAACATGAACATTTTTATTTATATTTTTTGTGATTTATACTGTGGTATTTGTGTGTTAATATAAAAATATATTAAAATAAAAATGAATCTTTTATAATTATTTGAACTATTTTTACATGAATTCACAACACAATAATGTATTTTACGCTTGCATTTTTATCACAACTTTCCATTTTAACGCTAAGGCAAAGACTAAACAGAAATAAGAAACTATAAACAAGCATAGATCTAATTAATAAGCATCTGATAAGCGAGCCGCACAGATCTCGGGACTGACTCTGCTGTCTTCCATATACTGTGGTACAAGCCCAACTTTGTGGGCCTCATTGTCTACAAAAATTCGCGCATTATTCCCGACTTGCGGGGGTGCCGGCGGCACCGTGCAGCGGTGGGGAGCATGTATGTTGTACAATGTGTGACGTATATGAAGCGCAAATTTCTGGGATTAATATTTCCCTATTATGCGGTCGGGCAATGATTTAAGCCTTTAGAATTAAAGTTGGAAGGGGTGCGCGCTAAATTTAAAGGAAATATTTTAAACTTTGATGGTTATTCGATGTTTTGATACTTTTAATGACTGGAAATTAGTTTAAAAACGTTTTATATTTAAAAAAGTAATGTATTTAACATTTCAAATAATATTATAATTTTAACATGTGAGGCCCGGCCTCAGTTGCTTTATACGACGAGCCGCCACTGCTAGTGACTGTAACTTGATCATGGTTATTTATATTGAATTCAGCTGGCTAAATCTCGGAAGGAAAAACCCATAACATTACATGAAGACGTTGTCAATTAAAAAAACTAACTTTATGGTAAAAATACATTTATGACATTTTTTCTATGGTTTGTATTAGAATAGTAGTACTGTACCTTTAGAATTGTCTTAGTTTCTGGAACCTGTTGGTTCCCACCAACTTCAAAAATATGCAGTGGATAGACCTTGGGGTTCTTGCTGAGCAGCGGACCCTTGTTATCTGCAATCATATTTAGGAACTTATTGATAAGATTAGGACTGGGATAAAGTTCGATGTCTGAAGGCAGAATAAAGTGAGTCTGGGCCGCCTCCCGAGCCACGTTGCGTCCCACGTTCACAGGATAAAGCAGTTTTTTCTGCGCCTTGTACATTTGATCTGAACTGACATTCGCAAATGGAGGCGTCAATGAACAGTTGTATGGTTCTGTAAGGACATTGTTATGTTTTGGAACCTAAAATAAATATTTAAATCTTTAGTTTATGCATGTAAAATATATTTTATGGAATATTATTACTATACGTATCCATTAACACGTTTACTGCCAATTTTCAGTTTTATGTCGTAATATATTCGAGTACACTCAATAATACTTAACTAATAATTTGTAAAACTTAAATACTAAAAATAATGATTTATGGGTAACAGCCCACCAAAAAAAGTAGGATGTCTGACGGACTAGACTATAGTCACATTATATGTGTCCGTGGTCGGAATTTCACCATTGGCCTTAGGTTTTCTTTTAACCTCAAAAAACATCGTTTTAACGTTTTTGCATTATACGATATCTAAAAAAATAACGCGTGTTGTTTTTTGGATCTCGATCATAAACTTGGAGACAGCGGGAAAAATATATATAAATGGTGTTTTGGTCCATTCAGCAAAATACCGTTTAACTTTAGTCCATTGGACATCCTACTTTTTTTTTAAGGGAGTGTGTAATTTAAAATAAATAATTTCACTTATACATATCTAACATTTATAAATATTAATTGCACACGTTTTCTTAATAAATGACCAGCATAATCATGCTTATTTAAATGTATGGATAAAATTTATATATAATACAAATTTTATCCATACATTTAAATAAGCATGATTATGCTGGTCATTTATTAAGAAAACGTGTGCAATTAATATTTATAAATGTTACCACCAAAATATCCGAAAACAGCCATTATGCATAATAAATACGACCTTTAATCATTATGCATAATAACTGGACATTTCAGTTAATATCCATTGTGGGCGGGGCTTAATTAGAAGTAAAAATTATATCTAAATATCTTAAAACGCGGTTGGAAAAAGTCATGACATGACAAAAAGTTGAAAAGGTCAGACTTTTTGAATTAATTCAGACTTTCTTGAATTAATTCACTTCACAATTGAAAATTGAAAATTATTTTATTTGAACAAAATGCCGGTCAAAATAATTATCAAGTCAAATAAAAATTCAGTTCAATGTGTCTTGTTATTTAAAAATGATTTTGACAATTATTTTACTACAAAATTTTAATTTTATTTAAAATCTTCATCCACCGTAAAATATTTTAACTAAGAATTCCTTGAGAAATTCAATGAGATCTCGCTATTTCCATTATTGGAGTTTATTTTACTCAAATAAACTCAACAAGAGTATTTAAATATTCCGAAAATAGTAACTGTAATAAAAGTTTTCATTGAATTAATTCATGAGTTTTAAAAAATTCATTTGAATACATTTTTTTGAATTAATTCAAGCCAATGTTTAAAAATAAAGTGCATATTTTTAAATTACTTAATTTTATGTTGAATATTTATAATGTATGATTTTACCATACTTTCACCAAAATTTTTTAAATTATGTTATTTTATTTAAGTTTACCACGCTAATAACTATCTAAACCAATGTTTCTTTTCTGGTAATTAATAAAATAATAATAGATTTTTGATGTTTTTTAAATAAATTTTGCATTGCAAAATGATAGTCAAGTAAACCTACTTAGACAAATTAAATTTTTTTAATACAATTGGTTTGAGAAAAATGTAGATATATTTTTTAGTTATTGGGCATTTAACTTTTCATAAACAAATCAAATAAGACCAAGAGATGTATTTTCTGTCAGATTAAGTTTTAAAAAATCAAACTTTAAATCATAATAACTTTAATATTATTAATAAACTGTATACCAGGGGCTTTGTGGTTTTAAGAAAAAATAAGGGGTCTATACATACAGTGTTTTCACTTATGGAATAAAATTCGTTATTCAATGAAAAAAGATTTTTATGAAAAAAACTTGAACACGTAATCTTTTCAAAATCATATAATTATAATTTTAAATTATTTGCCACCACCATTTTCCCCCTACCTATCTTAAATAACAACCCCACTTTTTTCATCAACAGGTAATGTTCTGTGCAGGTAATAGTACGACGACAACGCATAAGTCTAGTAATCATAGTTTTCAATATAGGATGGATATGTAATGACGAATTAAAAAACTAAACTTTAAAATTAAAAATTCAACAATAAATGAAAAATAAACTGTTCTTCAATCTTAAAAATGTTTAAAAGGTCCCCCATTTAGTTGTTGACACTTAGGTAATTTACTGTAAAATTGTTCCCACACTCTGTTTAAAACCTCCTAATTTCTGCAGTTATTCTGTTTGGTAAGTTATCTAAATTAGTACAAAACTTTGGTTGTGTATTTTTTTTTAAATATTAATCCGTAAGGGGGTACATTAAATTTAGACACTTTGGTGTCCTTTAAAATTTTTTTGTAAAACGTAATGTTTTCGAGTGAAAAAATTCGAAAAAACACAATGCTAAGTAATATTTTTTAACAAAATGCATTTGTGCAAATGCAAAAATCCTCGTCTTCGACTCGGATTTTTGTTGCCCCCAGCACTCATGCTTCTTGTTAAAATATTACTTAGCAACGTTTTTTTGATTTTTTTTCGGAAAAATTAGATGCCCTTATGATATTACTTACGAAAAAATGTTCGCCGAGGCTTCGGCTTCGACATAACTGCAAAATTACTCCTTGATCTCACCCATTAATGAATAAATATCAATAGCATTCAATTCTGGTCATTCCTCATTCCACGGTTACGATCATTATACATTGTTACAATTTGTAACAGAATTTCCCAAAAAATTTGGCTCATGAACCTTCGGTGGTGTGCCACCGAAGCCTTGTGGAACATTTTGCCGATATTATCTTTCACACATAATTCCCATGATTTAACAAAAACACATTTTTTTACAAATAACACTGTGTTATTCAATGTTATTATCAATACCTCTTATTGTAACACCATTTATGTTTAAATATTGAAATGAGCTTTAAATGCGCTTTTGTATAGTATTTTAATTTTACAGAGGGAGGCAACTGCCTCCCCTGCCAGCGCCCATGATAACCTGTATCTTTTTAAATAATGAAGGTAAAAGATCCTGAGGGTCTGCAGATCATACACATTTAATTTGTTCCACCCTGAAAAATTCTTTCTTAGGCACTGCTTTTAATATTAATAGGAAGATCCTCATCGCAGTTTTCAATTTTTTCTTTAGTTCCTTATAAAAAAGACCATATTTTTTCATTAATAATCAATCTTTTAATCAAATCTTTATACATATTTTTATAGGAAATTGAATGCTCTACAAAAAAGGACTGATGTGTTTAAGCAATTACTTCAAAGATGAAGAATTTAAAATATTTTTTTTATCATTGAAAAATAAATATTGTCACCCATAATATAACAAGTGGTATGATTATCATCGATGATATTTTCGAATTGAAACCGAGCTGCAGATTTCACGAGTCCGCAGGACGAGTGAAATGTGCTGCTTCGGTTTAAATGAGTAAATATCTTCGATTATTAATCATACCGCGAGTTATATTAAGTGAGAAAATACAATAAATTTTAGGAATTAAAAAATTTGTCAGATTGACATTTAAAATTAAAATGTGCTTTAAAATATAAAAAGACTTTAATAAACCTTATTTATTCAAACTTACCTTAATTTCATTATCGTTTACACCAACCCATCGATCTTTTAGAGTTTATAATTCATTATTTTATTGATATATATCAAACACAGAATTTAAATGACAACAAATGTTAAATCAAAAAAGTGTCAAAATCCTTAGTACCGTGTAAACAAGATGATAAAAAATATTGCCGCTGGGATAAAATGCGTAACTATGGAATGCTGGCATTTTATTGGTTCTAATATTAATGAATTGTATTGTCAAATGAGTATAACATATTTTTGTAGAAAATTTAACGCTCTACAAAAAAGGTCTCTAACTGAAAAGAAATTTGTATCCGAATGCGTACTGATACGAATATCTTCTCAACGCTTAGAGTAATCAATTAAACACATCAGACCTTTTTTGTAGAGCGTTAAAGTTCCTATAAAAATTTGCCACTCATTTAACAATAATTATTTTTTAATAAGTTACAAGATTATTAAAAAAAATTCTTCAAACTTTAATCTTAAATATATTTTATATGGTAAGAGTAATCGCTTAAACATATTAGTCGTTTTTTGTAGCGCATTCAATGTTCTACAAAAATATGTATAAAGATTTGATTAAACGATTGATTAATAATAAAATATGATCTTTTTTTATAAAGGACTAAAGAAAAAATCGAAAACTGTGATAAGGATCTTCCCATTAATATTAAGAGCTCAAATTTGGTGAGCACTTTCTAGAGGTGAACCAATTTTTCAGTGTCGAAAGTAAAAAAAATGTGATTTTCAGAATCACCCTATACAGTGTATACATGTATATCCTTATATTTTATTTTAAATTGAAAGAAAATGTTTTTCTGTTTAAATTATTCTTAATTTTTAAGCAATATTTAATAATACAAAAGTATTATCGAATTTCCAGGTAGCATTAATTTATAATTCATTATTACTTGGTCGATTGCCAGCTAGAATCACGAATATTGTATTATTAATAATTCACGTTTTGTTCTACTTTTTTAACCCCATTAATTTCATTGTTGCTTACCACTTTAGGCACGTGTTTGGTACTAAAGTAAACGTGGAACGTGACGTATTCCTTGACAAGAGGGTCGACGCAGTCGCGAAGGTACGCGATAGAATCAATCGTATTCTGGAAGTCGGTTCCTGGCGCGTGCATGGCTATACTGATCGGTCCACGCCACCTATCCAACAATGGCACTAGATTATCCATGAACGAATAGTCTGCATGGGTAGTATACGTAATACTTTCATGGCACCTAAAATAAAGCAAAAAGCATCGAGTAATGGATGTTTTACTGTACATTATTCCAGACATACTGTGCTTGGATATTAATAAATAAATAAAATAAAATAAGAAGGACTACATGTTCATCACAACATAATACTGACTCAAAAAGTCCTAAAGGAATGGTTAAAAAAATAAGAACAATTTTTTAAAATAGCCACAGCAATCCCTTAATAGACATTTTTTTAAATGTATGGAAAATAATAGACAAGCAGGTTCAAACATAAAACATAACCATTTCATTGATTCAATATCTAAACAGTATCCACTTTTTAATAAAACTAATCCAGTAGGTATTTATAGAAGTAAACTTTATATAGATTTTGTTGAAACATTATTATTTTTCCTGCGAAGTGGATCGGGTGAGGAAACTCTATAATTACCTGAATTTTTTTTCTGGGGTAATGTAGTTGTACAAAACCCAGTAGTCCCCACGCTGCTGCGTTTTCGCCGCCATGGGCTTGTCCATGCACTTAATAATATCAAGTACTTTTTCTGGGATTGTCTTTTCCATAGGCGATGCATCCCTTGCATTTGGCACTGAAATTGGTGAGTTTTTAAATATCCTGGTGGGCTCGGCGGAGAGCAACGAATCCTGAACGACGAGGGGCCCATTGTCCAAGTTGGCCTCCAAGGCGGCCAGATTTCGTCCAGATTGCTGCAGCTCGCGAAACACCGGCGTACCGCTGTTGTTGATCACGTGCACGCAAAAATACAGCGAGCACACGGCAAGCAACGTGATCAACAATTTTCTGTTATTGATCATTTTTAATAATTTACTTCAATTCTTCTGCGAAAACAATTAGCACATTGGGTTTTTTTGCGGCCTGGAGGTCGAACGTGTAAGTAGTACTGAATGTGCAACATCACAGTTGTTCAAGCACAGCATGGGGACTTCTTTACTTCTACTTCCACAGAGCTCATTTCAGAATTGTAAAATCTAAAAAAAAATATTATTATTATTATATTTATTTGTATTTTATAGTTTGTTTGTATATGGCAATAAATACGTAAGGTAACAAATGTTTTTTGTACAAGGTATATAGGGTATATACATATACCCTGAATAACTGTTAAAACCGGGTGTAACCAAAATACTTGGCCAAACCTAGGTTAGCTCAATTGTGAGCCACACAACAAGGTCTGTTCTACCTCGTACTAAAAATCACTGCAACACTGCACATCATTCAATGGCGGCCATTTTTGTTGTTTACAATTCTTGTGCTTTGGGTTTGTACAGATTAATATTCGTTTTAAACGTTGTGTTTCTTACAGAGAGACTAAGTCTTGCAAGCCTTAAAAGAGACCTCAAAGTGGTAAGAACAATAATTTTACTCCTCTTTTGTAAAAAATAAACCTTATTCTATCAGGGCCGTCAAATGTCAATTTGAAGGTTAATTTGTGGGTTATAAAATAACCCTAAAATTGACATTTGACGGCCCTGATAGAATAAGGTTTATTTTTTTAGAAAAGAGGAGTAATGATTGTTCTTACCACTTTGAGGTCTCTTTTAAGGCTTGCAAGTCTCTCTGTAAGAAACACAACGTTTAAAACGAATATTAATCTGTACAAACCCAAAGCACAAAGTTGCAGTGATTTTTAGTACGAGATCGAACAGACCTTGTTGTGTGGATTGTGGGTTAGCTAACATGGTAAAAAGGAAAAGGTTACTTAAAAATAAAAAAAATGTAAAAGAACTTCAATATGTCCACAATCCACACAACAAGGTCTCTTCTATCTCATGCTAAAAATACTAAAAATCACTGCAACACTGCACAGAGTTTAACGGCGGCCATTTTTGTTGTTTACAATTCTTGTGCTTTGGGTTTGTGCTGTTTAATAATTGTTTTAAACGTTGGGTTTCTTACAGAGGCACTTGTAAGCCTCAAATAAGGCCTTTAAGTGCTAAGGACAACCATTTTACTCCTCTTTTATAATAAATATACCTTATTTTGGCTATGTTCCATAATTTACTATCAGTACTGTCGGTACTGAAAACGCATTCCGAAATCCACTTTCAGTTACTGAGCTCAGTGGTAAATACTACCCTTTTATAAATGTACGGCAGATTAATTTTACTGAAACAACTGGGGACAGAGAGGTGCTGTGGCTCCAGTAAAACACATAACCAAACTTTTAAACAAAAAATAGCTGTCAAATAAAGTGAAGGATATAAATTATATCATTATATTATAATGGTATTTGGTGAATACCTATAGGACTAATTATTTCAATATTTATTGATAAAATATTACTTGAAAGTACAAGCAGCAGTGACGAAGGCAGGTCGGCGGGGAGTACGCATACGAAGACCCAGAATATGAAACTACCTACTATAGTACTACCTATAGGTAGTACCTAGAAAATGTTATATATTTGTATTCAGCGGACGAATTTAAGAGTAATTTTTGGTATTTGGCTTATTGCTTTGGTGTCAGTGAAATTTTATATTTCCTATTCATATCCCTGCCGAAAATGCCCCTTTAAGAACAATAGAAACCAATGGGAATTTATGTTGTAATGTATTGGGTCTTATAGGTTTGAATCTGGTGAATTGGTATCAATTGGAAAACATAATTGTCTTGAATTGGTTTGATTGGGTATTTCCCATTTAGCCCTAAAACCATTTGGCGACATATAGAACCCAATAAAAACCAGTACCAATACACATATTCAGTCCAGTACAAACCATTTCATTCTCTTATTGGTTTCTATGGGTCATTTTCGGCAGGGATATACATTTTTCGACGCGGACGACGATAACATTAAATTTTCCATATTTCTCTGCCATAAACCAAACATTATATTTCTTATACCTAACTGTTATATTTATTTTTTATTTATGTTCTCTGCTGTGCCGAAAGTAAAGTTTGTCAATTGTCAGTAAATCACAAATCATAACCTTGCGTAACCATTGTCACTTTCTGCGCGTTCCAATTTGACTGTGCGTCAGTACTGAATAAATTACGGAACGGTCCTTTTCCGCTACTGACAGTAAAATTACTGACAGTAATGGCAGTAAATTACGGAACACAGCCTTTATCAGGGCTGTCAAATGACAATTTGAAGGTTAATTTGTGGGTTATAATTTAACCTTAAAATTGACATTTGACAGTTTTATGACAGCCCTGATAGAATAAAGTTTATTTTTTACAATAGACGAGTAAAATGGTTGTTCTTAGCACTTTAAGGCCTCTTTTAAGGCTTACTTTGAGAAACATAACGTTTAAAACGATTATTAATCTGTATAAACAGTGACAACCTCAAAGCACAAAAATTGTAAACAACAAAAATGGCCGCCGTTAAACTGTGCTGTGTTGCAGTGATTTTTTGTATTTTTTGTGGATTGGGAATATGTCCATGACATCTTCTTTGACACGTCGAAATTTTACTTGAATCGGTTTATAAGTTCAAGAGCAACAAGGTATTGCTTAAAAAAACATTTCTATAAATAACATAAAATTACATTAACAAATTTTGTCGAGACATTGTTAGTTAAATGGAAGTTTTTCCATCTTTCGATAAAAATAAGGGTTTTCATTTTATTATTTCTGGATTCTAACCTTAAAATCCGGGTATAACTTTTTAAATAAATAAAAAATAATAAATAATTCTTTATTTGTCCCTAAAAACATATATTCGTAAAGATAGTTTATAGATGGACACCTCTAGATAAGACTTTAAAATATAAAAAATAAGGATAAGACACATGCTCGTATAAACTTTTTTCCTACATACGTTATACATCGTTTTTTCCTACATATGTTATTAGTCCGGGAGGCAGTGAATATTTTCGGTACTTATTTTCCCAGTTTGTGAATGTCATTAAGTTTGTTCAAATGGTGACACAAAACGACAATTTGTGTGTCTGGCTAAAATTTTTGGATGGGTTCACTAGATGAGCCAAAAAGTCAAGTCCACTTATTTTCCCAGTCATAAATATTTCACATTAATTAAAGTGAGTCATTTTATTAATGGAAATAACAGTCTGGCACATCCCAAGTGAAGGAAAGCTGAAAATTTGCGGAAGCAAAAATTTGACCGGTTTTTGAAATACGTAGCCCTTATTTTCCCATGCTTAAAATTTAACCCATTATTTGGTACTGTCATAAACTAAAATCAAAATTAAGTCTGGCTGATTTATAAAATTGGCAAATTGTTCTGGCGGCATCTTGAAAATCGTAAGAATTACAAAAATTTTGCTCTTATTTTCCCGGATTTGAAAATTTGTCACATGATAAATAATACTATAATTTCGTTGAAAATACACGTCTAGCTGTTATTTACAATCACGAAAGCCCCGCCAGACTCACAAGAAACTCGCGTTTGAATGGGAATTTTCGCGATTTTCTTTTTTTTTATTGATATAACTCAAAAACTAGGGGAGATACAAAAGACTGTAAAGAGATCGATTTTGTAGAGAATCCTACAAAAAACAACTGCACAAATTTTCTCGTATCTCTGATAGTTACAAAGTTATTCGCGAATAAAGTTTTTTGGTGGCGGACGGACTGACATTTTTTTTTAGCCATATTTAAATTTTGCTTTACACAAATTATTTTCTACATTATCATACATTATGAAAAGTAAAAACATGTAGAGATGACAACAATCGCCTGTAAAATTGAACAAGCCGAATTTAGCGCACCTGTGGAGGGTTGGACAAGTCTGGCAAGGCTTTCGGAGTGTTCCACATTAGCCAGACTATATTTGCAGCTGTAATTATAATATAAACTATCATCTCACAAAATTTTTAGGACTGCGAAAATAAGGGCAATGGTTTTGATAATTTTTCCACCTGCCAGACATATTACCCATACTCACAGATTAGCCAGACTATTTTTTTTCTTAAGTTCACTATATCTCTCACTAATGGAATTATTTTTATCACTGGAAAAAAAAGTGCAATATATTTGTACCGCCTTAACCCATCGGAAAACCCCCCCCTAAATATATATAAATTTTGCTCAGAATAGCAAACCCAATAATTGTATCGGTGTTTGCCAACTGGGAAAATAAGTACCGAAAATCTTCACTGCCTCCCGGACTATATACATCGGTACCTTAGAATGACAAGGTTCTTGGTGCAGTTGCCATGTTAAGCAAAAATGCCTTATCTGCAATATTTAATATTGTAGATAAAGTCACTTAGATCAACAGTGATAAACTTTTTTCCTACATGTTATACAATGATATATCTAGGGATTGTTATAAAAAAACCAAATAGGTAACAGAGACATGTATATTAAAATTCTAAAAATGGGTATCTCAAAATAGTTCGTTATAGTTATAGCCGAGTGTTCACTATATCTTTATACAGGGTCTATCATGTCTGGTAGATTAAGTTTAAATAAGGCAGCTTGTTTTAAAAACGTGTTTTTATTTAATCCAGGAACTACCTACCAAGAATATGTAGGCATGCTTAATCCGAAAGAGATATCAAACTTCAAAAAACAGTGAGGTACAACAATTTTTACCATAAATATCAATTTGGAATTCGATCTCATGCACTTTTGATGTCAAACAATTTTGCTCTCAAACCGCTGTTACCTACCTACCCATAAAAGATTCTTTATGTATAAGCGTTAATGAGTTTATTGTATCTTCAAAAATGATGGCATACGTTTCTTTAATTATTATTATTTTATTTATAGTTATATAAAATAAAAAACTAAATTAATTAACAAAATTTATTAGCATTAGAAAGTTATCTAATAAGCTAAAATGATTTCCCAACGAATTCTTTATTCATATTTGTAACGCTTAAGTAAGAATTTAGACGTTAATTCATTAAAAATACTGATAATATGTAAGAATGTAAAAATTGTTAGTTTTGAAAAAAAAACAACCACTTACCCAAAACACATAACACGGAATTTAAACACCGAATCAAAATAAGGATGTTCCTAAGAATCTTGCAAATCCAATTAATTTGTGGCG